AAATGTTCAGAATAAAACTTTTTTTTTTCATATTGGACAGTTGAAAATCTAGCTAATGCCTTTTCCTGACAACTAAGGCTATCACTATCATTCACAGAGACTCCTCATTAACAGAGTTTCCACAATTAAAAAGAAGCAGGATTTAATTACATTGTTTGATCCTTTACACAGTTTGTTATGGTTCATACACAGTTATGTATGGTTCAAAATTCAGGCCAGTTGGTTTCTTATCCTTAGCTCAACATACAGTCACATTAGATTACCTTCAGCTTTTTGTTTTGGCTTTTTTTGCTTTCACTATAATTGGAAATTTTACATAGACTGTACTCTCAATTCATTTATATTTGGCACTATATTGAAATACACTTGTCATTGTTAACCAGCATCCAACAATTATGATAATTTGACATACCAGTTTGAAAGTTATATTGAATTTTCTCTTCTTATAGACACTAATTGCATATTTGAAGTGATGGATCTTGTTCTCTCAGAAGCATGCATCTGGATCCCTTATTTATCATAACTTGAGAAGGAGGTATGACCTTATTTCTTCCATTTCTTAGGTTTTCAGAAATGCATAAACAGTGCAAACAAACATAAATCATGTTCCATCAACTGACTGCTATAGAACCATTTACATGGAAACAGGGTAATTCTGTCCTATTTTCTGCCCAGTAAGTTAGTGCTTAAGAAACTCAGGTGAAATAGAGAAATTGGACTGAATTAGCTCATACTTGAAATAATATGCCATATTTGGCACAATTATTAAGCTTCTGTGTATGTCTGGGAAACCACAGGGATGTGTTATTTAGCCTTTTCACCTGAAAACATTTCCATCTTGTCTTTGTGCCCATCCCTGTGCCATTTTACAAGGCTCCCCTCCAATCCCAGGTGGGAGTCTTTGACTCCTATTAATTTCCAACACTTCTGCTTGTCAGAAATGTGTTGTGGGAGATAACAAATGAGTGACATTGAAAGAACCCCATCTGTGCAGTTGAACATACAAAGTTCATCCAGAACCTGCTGCACATCAGTGGCACAACTCCTCACAGCTCTGGCTCTGGCACAGGAGAGGGACACCACAAAGTGCCATGCACATCCAGGCAACTGAGCTCCCAAATGGTTCCCCTGCTCTGCAGGGCTCTGAATCCTCCCTTGCCATCGGGTGCACATTTAATAAACACATTTTCATTGTGAATGAATGACAGCTCAGAGACCTAGAGTACTCAAAACAACTATAAACAACTTCTTCATTTTTTATGAGAGGAGGATGAGGAGAAACTGTGTTGGAATAGCTGAAAGTAAGAAGTTTTTCATACATGTGTTAATTAATGAAAAAGTGGTGATGGACTGAAATTGATCCCTGTTACCCCCAGTGTACACGGGAGCTTGACCTGGAAGTCTTGATTAGAGAAAACATTTGCTTTGAACCACCAGAATTTCAAGTACAGAACTATTTGAATGACTCTTGCTGTTAGTTAAATAAGCATCAGTAACACACTATTTTCAACCCTAAACAATTAATTTTTGCTTGGCACTTCCATGTAACCACCATGCTGAGTAATATCTCGCTGAAGACTAGACATTTGGAGGTGTAACGAATGGTGGAGCAGATACTTTAAATTTTCATCATGACATCTCTCACCATGTTTTTTAAAAGCCCACATCAATTAAGGGAACTATGCTTTGAAGAACTTCCTGCAATTTTTGTTTAGCTTAGAGATATAGTTATTTAGCATTTCAAATAAGCCATGAAGTGCAGAAAATGGCCAGTAGCAGCTAAATCCTGGAAAGCAGAATTTTAAGTAGGTTTTCTACAGTTAGAAAACTTAAGGAAATGTTCAGTTACTTGCAGTTACCAAGAAGGGTAATGAACATTTATAGGTCTTTAAAAGCATGTCATGTCACAAAATCCATATTAACAGACTCATCGGAAAGACATCTGCCGTATTCAGTGACTTCTGCATTACGAGCTCTGCAAGCAGTTCTGAGATTCCCCACACTTTTAAGCAGGTGGCAGTGTAGGTTAAAGAGACAGATTTTTCCTGCAGCTGATAGAAATCAGGCGTTCCAATTTTCCCATTTATCTCAACTTAAGGTACAAATATCCAACACTATTACTGGGTTCCTATCTAGATGGGAACAGGCATGAACTTTGGAATGCACCTCTTTGTTGACTCAGAATTCCATTATTTCCAGATGCAGCTTTGTGAGCTTTATTTCTCAGAATGAGACACTGCAGTAAGAGACATAACTTAACCTCTCCTCTTCAATATGACAGTGGGAAGACCTGTCTTCTGAAGGGGTTAGGTGATGTTACAGTGCAGTGATTCAGCATCAGTGCTCAGTGTCTAATGATAAACTTTGATAGTTTTAATAAAAGCAAATACGGTGCCCTTCCTTCTACTGGACCTTAATTTATGTCACTGACACAGACTTAGCAGCTAAGGAAATAAGGAATTTAGCTTACATGTGCAACTTTGGGTTGCCCTTTCAGTTATTTCAATCTTTTGTGCATAAAATGTTGCATTATCTAGCGTTTGTGCCTAAGGATCACTAATAAGGCTGATTTTAACATCTTTGACAGTGACATGGATGGTGGGATGGAGTGCATCCTCTGCAAGGCTAAGGATGACACTCAGCTGTGTGGTGTGGTGGTTAGGCTAAAGGGAAAGGATGCCATCCAGACAGTTCTTGAGAGGCTTGAGAGCTGGGCCACATGAACCTTGTGAAGTCCAACAAGACCAAGAACAATGTCCTGCATCAGGGCAATCCCAAGCACAAATACTGGCTGAGCAGAGGATGGACTGAGAGCAGCCCTCGGGGAAAGGACTTGGTGTTGGCAGACAGGGAGCTGGACATGAGCTGGCAGTGTGCTTGCAGCCTAGAAATACTAACACCTCCTGTACTGCAGCAAAAGCAGCGTGACCAGCAGATCGAGGGAGGGGATTCTCCCCCTCTGCTTTGTAAGACCCCTCCTGGAGTGCTGTGTCAGGTTCAGGGGTTCATCCTGAACAAAAAGGACATTGGCCTGTTGGGGCAAGTTCAGAGGGAGCCATAGAGATGACCAGAGGGATGGAGCACCTCTCCTATGAGAGAGTTGGGGTTGTTCAGCCTGGAGAAGAGAAGGCTCCAGGGAGATCTTGTAGCACCTTCCTGTCCCTAAAGAGAGCTTCCAAGAGAGCTGGAGAGGGACATTTTACAAGAACATGTAGTGATAGACCTTAAACTGGAAGAGGGCAGGTCTAGATTAGATATTAGGAAGAAATTCTTTACTGTGAGGGTGGTGAGGTACTTCAAAATGTTGCCCAGAGAGGTTGCGGACACCCTACTCATGGATGTGTTCAAGGTCAGGCTGGGTGGAGTTTTGAGCAACTTGGTCTAGTGGAAGATGTCCATGACCATGGCAGGGGGGCTGGAAGTAGATGATATCTACGATGCCTTCCAACCACAACCATTCTATGATTTTCTATATTTTTAAATTTTATATATTCAATTTAATTTCTGATTTTTTTCAGATACATCTTACTTTATTAAACTAAAAGAAACAAAATGCAATAGCTGAGTATCATTTGATGAACAGTATGTGGCTTTGATCTCTTGCTAATGTGTGAACAGAACAACTCTTTTTCAGAAGCTTTTTTTTTTTTAAGCTGACTAGACACAAGGTGATAGTCGTCACGAAGCTGAAGGTTTTTTACTTGGAGATATGACAAATGTGTGCATGTGCAAATACTCTTGCGGAAGTGAAGCAGTGTTCAGGTGCACTGGTTCTGTGGCAGGACTTAAAAATATATATAGATCAGCCTAAAACTGGAGAAAGAACAATAGTTCCTTTAATTTTGGGAGTGCGGGATGTGTAAAAATCCCAATTTCTTTGCAGGAATTGATTTCCACACTGCTGAAAGTAAAGCTCTTCATGTTCAGGTGGAACTTGTGCAGCAGCTTCTGCCCGGTGCCTCTCCTCCCAGCGGTTGGCACCAAGGACAAGAACCCGGCCCCTTCCTCTCGAGGCCCGCAGTTTCGATATTCCCGCAGGGTGACGAGGCCCCGGCTCAGCCCTGAGGGCGGGTGTCCTGCGCGGGCTGAGGGCAGGGGCGCAGCTCCGCAGGGTGACGAGGCTCCATTTGAGCTGCCTCCCTACGGGCGGGTGTCCTGCGCGGGCTGAGGGCAGGGGCGCAGCTCCGCGCAGCTCCGCGAACACGCGGGGAGCGGCGGGCGGGTGCTCCCGCCCGGCACGGCCTGCCCGCGGCGCGCCAGCGCCCCCAGCGGCGGGAGCGCGCACTCGCACCGCGCCCCACGCCCCGGGCGCGCCCGCGCCCCCCGCATGCGCAGCGCGGGCGCGGAGCTGTCCGAGCGCTGAAGCCGCGCGCGCCCGCCCCATTCCAGCACAGCGCCGGGCATCCCCGCCCCGCTCCCTCCGGCACCACAGCCCCCTCCCTCACACCCTCCCGCCCTCCCCGGCAACGCCGACGCTTCCCTACCCAACGAGGGGGAAAGCAGAGCGACCCAGTAGCCCCACCACCGTTCATAAATACTAATTGTCAGCGAAAGGGGAATAAAACATATCGACAACAGAACTGCTTTCAGCGCTGTTCCCTTTTGCCTGATGCTCCTCTCATAGTTCTGTTTTCTCCTCCTCTCTTTTCCTTTTTCCCCCCTTTCTTTCCATTTATTTTCTTCTTTTTGCTTGTTTTTGGTTTTTTTTTTCCCCCCCTCCATCACCAAAAGCAAGTCGGGGGAACGACTGTGTCTGATGCCTTATCTCTTTCGTGCTGACTGCTGGAGATGAGCCTAGGCTTGACCTGACCATGATTCCAAGGACTGGCACTTCTCTTTTACCCCTACTTTGTAGAGATCCAGACCTTCTCTTCCTGATTGTCAAGAAAATTAAATTTTTGCTGAATTTGGAAATCTAGGCAGCAGCAGCTTACTTTTTCCCTGCATCTCTCTGGAATCGTTTCTGGGATATTTCCAAATCATCACAGAAAGCAGGAGGAATGAACCGGCAGCTAGTGAAAATTTTGACAACCTTGTTTGCATTTTTCTTAGAGACAAACCACTTCAGGTAGGTGATACCACTCTGTAATAATATTTGTCAAAAAGTCGTGAGAATCATAACTATAAAGATACTACGTCACAATAACCTAGTTTGTTTGCTGTATTTGAGAGTGTTTTGTGTTCATTCCATATAGACTATCCCTTTTACACTCAGAGACTCGTTGCTTGGTAACAAACACAAAAAATAATAATCTCAAGTTTGGGTGATCTATTTTCCATTTTCTGATGCAAAGATGTGGGTTTTTTTCACTGTATATCAGTACAGCTAAGGACATTTTCTTTGGCTTTTCTTCCTAAATGCAAATTCTCTGCTCCTGGCAAAGGTTGTTTAGGAAGTTGCTTTGGTTCCCTCCTCTTCAATCTTTGGAAATGATTGTACCGGTTTTGTCAGGGATGTAGTTATTTCAAATTAGAGTACCAGCCCTCTGATTTTGGGAAAACCCTGGATCAGGCTAGTATTGTGTTGACTTAAAGTCCCAATGTTTCTGATTTTTTTTTTTTTTAATGTTTCATGAGCTTTTGCTTCAGCTAATGACTTTTTTTTTGGTACTGAGCAAACAGGTCAGTCTTATTAACCAGAATAGCATTTCAGAGGAGATTCATTATTGGACTGTATGCTGCTGTGCATCTGCACGTACAGGTGAATCTACTCGTAAAAGTGTTCTAGGAGTATGAGGTATACATATAGTGACAGAGTGAAACAGTGTTTATATTTTTGAGCCTGGGTTCACAACACGACTCATAACTAGTGGTTTCTGAATGAAAACAGAAGGAATTTGTATATGAATAAGTGTACTATCTTAATTTTCCAGTTTTTATTTTCTTAACTGAATTATTTCATTATTTAAGTTGGATAGATCATCTGCTGTGTATTAAATATTAAAAATATTTGCAATGGTACTCTGTCATTGACAAAAGCAAAAGGAAGCAACCGCCTCCTATATATGAAACCTGAAAAAAATGCATGGAATCACACCACGAGAATTTACTATCACCTTACCTTTAACGGTTTGGGTGAATTGTTTCTCTTTTGTAGCGAGAGAGGATTTGATATTTTCTTCTCCTTTCAGATGATCAGATATATATCTGATATTTTTATACTTGCATGTAGATGCAAGTATAATGAAAATACTCCATGAAATACTCCTGAAACTAGAGGTTTCCTTTGGGTAAATATTTAAACAGAGAGTGGTTAAGAAGTCAGAGTCAGAATTACTTTTAATTTAGCTCAAAGATAAAGTGGAAACAGACACAATGAAATTGGTTATTTAAGACTAAAGATAATGTTTTATTATTAAATCTGTGCCTCTACACACCAAATATGACCATTTTCATTCTAGTTTCTTTTTCCCTGGGGAACAACCGTGGGGACCTCCTAAACTGTCTTTCTCTGCAATGTATTATGTGTTTGCAGTATGCAATGTGCTGTGTACACAGCATTTCACACACATGATATCGTATCAGAAGTTTTCTCTTAAATCCTTGAAACAGACGTGTTCAATGAACTTGCATATGAATACCACTGGTGATACTAAATTTTATTATTCAGTGCTTCATGGATGGGGGGTGTAAACCCCCCTAAGATAGGTTGTAGCTATAGGTTGTGACTCTGAAACCCTTTTTGCCATGTTGGGAAAGAATCTGGATGCTCACTAGCATGATTTAAATACATTTTGGGTAGCATCTGTAAAAAACAATTTTTTTTTCCCATCTGCATCTTTCTCACCATTAACAAATCCAGTATTTTTCAGTGTTGCTTGTTAAGTGTTGTTGGCTGTTGTTTGAAAGTTTAAGACCACCTTAAACCAGTGTTGACATAACATTTTAACAGCATCCATGCAATTAAAATAGTGATATAAAATGGGATATCAAAATCACTCTAAGATGGACCTACACATTGAGGTGAAGAGTAAATTGAATCTTCTTAAAGTCTAAAAACTGTAATGAATTTTTTTTTTAAAGCTAAGGCTTTTTCTGAATAGAAATTGTGTTAATGCATGATACCTGAAACTTGTCTTTATTTCTAGAATAAAGTTTTCAGATGAAAGGTAGAGTATGTTGCTCTTTAAGAACATTAATTTCTACCTTCACTGAGTTGAGACAATTTTATTTAGTTATGTAATTTCTCCATGACTTGAATACAATACAAGCTAAATATTAGCTAATGGTGGCTAATAATTTATTTAGGACGACTTTCTGTAAAGAACATGATTCAAGATCTGGAAAATCCCCCTCACAGACCCTGTCTCCTTCAGATTTTTTGGACAAATTGATGGGAAGGACATCGGGGTATGATGCTAGAATCAGACCAAATTTTAAAGGTAAGTTTTCTAAGACTTCTAATTAATTAATTGATAAAGTTTGGGATAGATTACAGGTTTTGAGGAGTTTTTAACCTCTGGGTTTAGATTAAGTTTTCAATAACTTCACTTCTCCAGTGTTATAGTGCTGTGGAAAACAGCTGATCTATGGGATGGACTAGGAGACAGAACAGTGTAGGTATTAAGGGTCCAGAACTTGAAAACCCTCTTTTGACATGACAATAATGTTCAGCTGTCAAAAAATGCTTCTGAAGACCTTACTAATTTAATGTAGTGAATAGGATTATGAGCTTCAGACTAAAACCAAATGAGATGACTTGTTCCTGAAATTTTTGAGCCACAAAGACAATATCATTAAAACTTTCATGCTGAGATATTATTTTCTTTATAGCAGTGTCTGAAGAAACAAAAAAAAAAAATCTCTGTTTTCTTTCAACTTGAAGAAAGTAAAATCTTCTTCCCCAAGGTAGGGGGGACTCAAGGAATATACACAGAAGATTTTATCTTGCAAGTGCTGAATGAATTATAAAAACCAATGGCTCAGGATCCCTGTAAAATATAGAAATTGTATTTTGTTTGGCACTTTTATGACAGCCCCCATTTCTTCCAAAATTTGGGCTGAATTGTGGAATGTCACCACTGCCATCCCAGCACAAAGAAGGCTGTGTACTGGAAGCTTCTTTTGCAAACATTATTACTCAAAGCAAATTTTCCTTGCTGTAGTCCTGTAAATCCCTATAGAAAAGAGCACAGAATATCTTGTGGTTTTCTATGAAAGGAGTCAGGAGTGAAGTTTTCATTGCCAATATTTAGTGTTTTGGGAGAGTCCTTTAATTCCACCAAAATCATCTCTTCTAAGCCAATTTAAAGCTCAGAATATGGTTTTATTTTGAAAACTGCTAGAATGCTTTCTCCCTTAACAAATCTCATGGCAATGTACATTTGCAACTCATATCTATTAGCTCTGGCTACTGAAATGCATTTTTTCCCATATTAAGCCTTTTTAGCAGTACTGTGAAAGTTGATAATGGCTGGAAAAAATAATTTCTTAGCCAGTGAATGAACTGTAATGAGAGAAGAAGCTCACATGTCAATGAGAAAAGTGTTTAATTAAATTTAGATCAAAGATTGGTTTCTTCTCTCTGTTCCACATGTGCAAATTAAAAGATTTAGAACAAAGTGCCTTTTTTTGACTGCTTCCTGTGCCTGAGCGAGGAGCAAACCAGTATGGATTTCAGATCCAAAGGTTTGAAAGCTGACAAATTAAGAAAACCAAGTCAGTGAAGTCTAAAGTCTTAATTTCAGAGTATTTTTCAAAGTGCTTATTGAGTTCCTGAACTGGTGTCCACACCAGCTTATAGTAAGTAATATTGCATAAGTCTCTCGCATTCATTTCGTGTGTTTCCATGAGTATCAGCAAAATTTTAGAGAATGTAAATGAAGGCAGAAATTGCCTGAGTTGATCATAATATCAATCCTTAAGAACATTTTCCTGCTCTTTAAATGGGGTGCAGAAGGGGTGCACTAAAAAAAATCTTCATGTCTTGTATATCAGACAAAAAAACAGTAACAGCAGCAGTCCTGTGTACGTACATGGCTTACAGACAGGGCTCTCTATTGCTCCCCAGGATGTCTCTACAACCATTTCAGGACAGCACAGGAGGCAGGTTCATGGCTTTGCTCCCCTGATGCTGAAGTGTGTAGAGCAGGAATTGTGTGGCGCATGCTGAGCTGTTTGACAGACACTTCTCCCCTCTGAGTCCTGTATTTTGTTTGCATTCCCAAAGTGAAGTTGCTGCCTGTTGACATGTATGAGACCTTACTGGGAAAGCATCTGCCATATTTTGGTTTTTGATTTTTTATTAAGTCACACTCCAGAGCAGGATGGTACTTTGTGGTAGTTTGAGCTGCTAAATAGATCTTCAATTCTTTCTTATAATTTTGTGTCTGTGAGCTCTCCCACTCCTCTGGTGAGGGGCCTGAAAATTCTTGTTCTTTGCTATGTTCATTTGAATGGTATTTTGGACCTCAGAGTTTAGAACTAGGGAGTTAAGTCATGCAGTTTTGAACTTCACATCACCGGTCAAAACCTTGCCAGCTAATAACCCGGTTTATTAGTCAACATCCATATTTTCGTTGCCCAAGTCTCATCAATGTTTCAAAGAAATGGAAAATACTAATTGTTCTATATTACATACTTATTCCTTTTAAAGAATAAGGATGGCTGCAAAGGAGTCAAAATAAATTTATTTTGTTTGAAGTTAGTATGATAATGATTATTTTTTTACTGAGTCTTTACTCTGTCCATAATAAATTTTTCTGGTTTTTAACATTTATATATATGTTGAAGATAATTTTGGGGGTAAGACCTATTGCACAATACTGATATTATAAATCATATAAATGGAAGAATGTATGAAATGCTGAATGAGTACCTGATTCATAACATTTTTCATATTTTAAGGAATGAACTTTGCATAATAAAAGAGGCTACTGGAGCAATGGTTTAAACTAGAGATCTTCTCTCTCGTTTGGATTTTAGTCTGGGGATAATATTTGCTTACTATGTTTCAGAAAAGACATTGTGAATCAAGATAGTTGTGCCACCTTCAGCCTCTCCTCACAGGGTCTTGGGGGGCAGCTGTTTGAGGAGTGGCTGAGGGCGTTTGGTCTGTTCCGCTGCAGAGGAGGAGGCTGAGGGGAAGCCTCATTGTGGTCTTCAACATCCTCATGAGGGGAAATGGAGGGACAGGCACTGATCTTTTCTCTCTGGTGACCAGTGACAGGACCCGAGGGAATGTCCTGAAGCTGTGTCACGGGAGGTTTAGGTTCAATATTAGAAAAAAGATTTTTCACCCAAAGGGTGGTTGTGCACTGGAACAGGCTTCCCTGAGGAGTGGTCACAGCACCAAGCCTGGAGAGCTCAAGAAGCATTTGGACAATGCTCTTGAGCACAAGGTGGGATTCTCTTGGCCCTTGTGCAGGGCCAGGAGTTGGGCTTGATGATCCTGATGGTCTCTTGCAACTCAGTTAATTCTGTGATTCTCTGATTCTACTCATGCATTTGTCTAGCTTTTTCTGCTTTAGAACAGTTACACAGCTTTTTCTGAGTCCACTACAGGGATTTTAAAGTGTCAGAAAAGTCTGGTTTCATGGAAATGCAACTGAGTAGAACACATTTATCTTGTGGCATTGATTTTACAATAATTAAATATACTTTTATGACTAGTTTGAATTACTGGAAAACAGCAGCTATTAGATTAAGTTTTGAAATAAAGGCTGTGCATGCTAAAGAGAGAGGAAAATGCTACTTACTGGAACAAGGTGTTTTATTCAGATAAAGCATTTCTTCATTAGTGACTACTTTTTCCTATCTTGTTCTTGCAAATTAAAAAATTCAGGAAGATAGTGGGAGAGCAACAGGTGAATATATAAACATTTAGACATCAACAGCAGGGGTTCTTCGGTTGTGATTTTTTTGTGGCTGGGTTTTTTTTGTTTTGTGCTTGGTTTTTTTCCAGCAGTACTCTATAATGAAAAATACTTTCTCTTTTGTATTGTTCTGTCTTATACAATCATTCAAACACAGAAAAACATATTTCTTTTTCTTTTTGATTTCAAGTGGTTGGATACAAAATGTCAAGACACTGAGAGGGGATATCTCCCTGATGAAAAGCCAGAAGGAATTTCTAGAGTGACAGCTCTCAAAACTGCCCTTCTTTAATCATTCTCTGTCAGATATTTAGTGCTTACTTTTTCATCTTCCACTTATCTTTCATTGAATTTGAATAGGCTAATAATTTGTGTAAGGACACAGTGGGGAATACTTTTAAATGTAAATATGAAGACTGCAATCTAGTACTAAATGAAGTCCCTGAGAGTCTTTCTGTTGACAGCAAATGTATGCTTATGGTCCTGTGAGTTGGTTTACAGTTTCTTCTTCAATTATACCATCAGTTGAGCATGAAATATAATAAAAGATGAAATATAATAAAAGATGAGGCTTGCACAATGCATTTTTACTTTATTAATATTAATTTTCTATTTTTTTATGGTAAAACACAAGAGAAGCAATATCATTTACTTTCTCCAGTGCTCACTTTGGTTTCAAAGTTTAAAAAAAGGCAGGAAATAGTGGTGTAGAGCATCTATGTTATGAAACTAGCCAAGAATGTGCTTTCTCATTGCTAGAAACAAGGGATGGTGAACCGGTATCTTAGCTTAGTGTACATTCAGCTCAGGCTCAAGAGCACTGCATGTAATGCCAGGATACAAGGGATCAAGCTAAAACCGAATTACAACATGAGATGTGGGGCTAATGGAGAGCCAACTTAAATTTAACATATCTGAGCAGGTGTTGATCTTCAGAGGTTACTAAATTACTTCAACTTTTTAACACTTTCAATATCTACCACCACTAAAAATCTGAATGCAATCTAGAAATTATCAGAAAGAAAAAACTCCCTTATCTATAGGCACTGCTATGTCCATTATGCCAAATACTTTAAGTAATAGGCAGGCTGTCATGCTGTGAGTACAGAGCAGGGGAGTTGGTCACCAAGAACTGCAGAAGTGTGTTATCTTCAGGAACATAAAACATTTACAATGAAGATGATAGTGATTTTCCTTGTATTGAATCTCATTCCATGTTTTAAATTCAGTCTTTCTGATTAAATTATTATTTACTAAAGATTATTCTGATTTTTATGGAGTTACAGGAAAGTGTACAGCAATAGTGCCTGTTAATGTTACCCTCATGACTGGATGGTGCAATACAGTGTGAATTAACTTGCTCAAAAGCTGCTGTTTTGTTAGTGATACAGTTTGGGGGTGTAGGGCCATAATTGTAAAAGATTAGTCTGTGATTACAGCAGTGTAATGCCATTTTCATGTCGAGTCCCTGGGTTTATATCTTAATAATAAACACATGGACTAAGTAATTTACTGACAATTAGCCTGACAACTGTTACAGGAAATGGCTTATGCACTTTAATACTTTA